GGGGTGGGGGGGGGGTTGTATTTTCACATTAGGGGTGTTTTCAAAAATAGTTAGATTTATTTACCGAACTACGCTGGTTTGATTCTCACCGGATGTGAGATACGTAGGCAACCCTCATCGGGTCCCAACCACCCTTTTGCAAAAATAGCCAAAATACCAAAATTTTAATTTTGTCACAAAATAAGTCGGGTGATGCCATTCTTGTTCAAAATAAGCCGAATGTCCCAAAAGAGCACCGGAAGGCTGTTTTTGCAAGAACAGCCACCCTGAGTCAGTTTCAACGGTTAGCAGGCACAGCCTTAAAATCTTCTCCCCGAAGTGTTGAAAGGCCGTAACTGCAAAACCGGCCATTTGTTTTAAAACTGGAAATTTGAACAAAAACAGTGTCATTTGTTTTCTTTTAGGTCAAAATAAGTGATTAAATCACCTTAATAAATGTGAAGGATGAGCACGATTCAAAAAAAAGGGGAACTTGCATATAGGCCCGCGGCGAGACCGAACGATGTCCCGCGGGCGCCAGGAGCTTTAATACATTCGTGGTTGTCTTTTGAGTCTGTGTTTCCTTTTCCACCAGAGTTGATCATTTGAGTCTGTATTTCCTTTTCTACTGGAGTCCGTATTTCCTTAAAAGTCCGTCAGTTGATTGAGTCTGTACTTTCGTTTAAATGGAATAGGGATGGTGGAGTCAGTAGTTCTTTTCTGCATTAGAGTCTGTTAGTTGTTTAATCTGTCAGTTTTGAGTCTTTGTAATGGACATACTTGCTATCAATAAAATGAAAATCCAAAAAAAAAAAAAATTTGCTTCTACTTTGCAAGAACTACGCTCGGTCTGATTCACGCGGGGTCGTGATACGTAGGCAATCTCCATAGGATTCGACCATAACCAAGAGAAAAAAAAAACAAAAAAAAAACGAGAAAGAGAGGAAAACCACAAAAGGCGAAAAGAACAGAAAAGAAGCGGAAAAAGAAAACTAGAAGAGAGGAAGGAAATAGGAACGAGAGAAGACAAAGGCAAGAGTGAAAAACAAGAAGGAGAACATAAGAAGAAAGACTTTACAATCGGAAATAAGGAAAAGACCGGGATGACGCATGCGACCGATCAAAAGACTGTTACCAATGTGTTAGTTGCCCTAACGCTAACGTGATGGTTTCATTTGTTCCAATTCCAGAAAGGCGGTTGGTTTGTGGTTTGAAAGTGGTAACTCTTCTGTACAACACAAGGACAAAAGGCAATGGCAAACAACAAGAGAACTGAGTTGGTTGATACTGGTGCCCGACAACAGTTGGTGGAACAAGATAATGGGTTGGCTGACGAGGTGCGGATGCTAAGACAACATATGACAGACATGTATCAAGCCTGGATGACTGGGAAGGCGCCACCTCCGCCACCACTAAATTTCCCAGACGCTACCCTTACCCAAACTCCCAACACAATACCAGATGATCCTCAATATTCTCCAGACACACCCGCTTATTACACTCGTCCCAACTACCCTAGTAGCTTTACCGCTCATCCCTCAGTTACTACTACCCAAAATTGCCCTCCTGTCATATCCCGAGATGAGCTCCATGACAGGAATGAAAAGGTTACAGGAAGAGAAGGGCGAGATAGGATGCCCAAAAAGCTGAAAAGTATAGAACTGTCCTCAAGGGACAAGCAAAGAGTGGAAGGCCAGGGTAACATGACTTGCAAAGAACTGATTGTGCCACATGACACCCGCCTGCCCGCAGGATTCAAAGTACCAAAATTCAACCTGTATGATGGGCGTGGAGACCCGGTAGCCCACATGAGGGTCTATTGCAACGAAATGAGGATTGTTGGAGAAAACGATGACGTGATGATGGCATATTTCGGTAAAAAGCCTAACTGGGGCAGCTTTGGACTGGCATGGTCGTCAAAATGTCGATGGGTGGCTTACATTGGGCGACATGGCTCGAGACTTTGTCCGAT